TTCAACGGATACGCGTGCGCATGCGCACACGCAACACATATCACTGAAAATCACAGCCTGAGGATAATATAGGAAAGGTTCGCTACACTTAGAACTGGACATAAATAACGACATAACCGCATAAATTCAATCCTGAATGCCGCAGAGATTTTAGGTATACAAGTGGTTTCGTATATCAGATTCAGTCCATTGAAATATTTTTCGTCCACATTTCTCATTAAGTGCATTTTTCTTCCTCTCCTCTTATCAATCAAACAAAGTGATAAACTGCACAACTCTGCAATTCTTGAAGGCGTCCAAAACATTGGAGACAAGTTAAAACAAGGGCCAGCGTTCCTCGTTATTGGCGATGCTTATTACAATCTTGGTGATTTCAGACAGGCTTTGCATAACCACGAACTTTATCTTTCATACATCGAAGAAGAAGACAGGGCTGCTATAGGTCGGGCTTGGAAACCATAAACATGCCTTGATCTGTTATGAGCAACAGCTGGAAATAGCTAAAGAAACTGGAGAGAGAGTTGAGGAACGGCAAGCTTGTGAAAATCTCGGTCATCTTTATTTCAAGATCGCAAATTTTAAGTTGGCCGCGATGAGGTATAAATGCGCTGTGTACATCGCCGAAGAGATAGGTGACAAGACAGAAATCGCAAAAGCGAAACGTTATCTTGGCAACTGCCATTACCGTAACGGTAGGTTTAAAAATGCCATGAAAATATCATAGAAAAGACTTGAAGTTGGCCAAAGAGTTAGGAGACAAAGAGGGTGAAGGTATTGCATATGGCAACCTTGGAGATGTCTATTTCAGCTTGGGGGAATTCCAGGAGGCCATAACATACCACGAGAAGAGTCTAGACATTGCAAGAGAAGCTAAGAACTGCGCTGAAGAAGGAAAGGCATGTTACGCGATAGGCTGCTGCTTCGAATACCTGGGAAGCCTAGATGAAGCTGAGAGATGGCTTCGACTTAGTAAAAAAACATTTGATAACCTACGAAAGCCCAGTCATTCGAACGATGAGTGGGTAATAAATATTCAAGATGAATACAAACTTGTAATTGTCGCTTTATGGAGAACTCTTTTAAAACAAAAGAAAGCTAAGGATGCTCTCCTAGTTGCAGAGGAAGGACGTGCCCAAGCCTTGCGAGATCTTCTGAAGTTAACATCTGAGAGCCATTGTCCTGAAATCGATCATTTGGACCATTTGCCCAGCCTGCTTTCCAGTCTTTCTTGTGTCACACTCTTCTTAGCAATTGAGAAGAAAAACATCACTATCTGGGTCATCAATGAAAATGACGTTCAAGTAAGACAAAGTAAAATTGATGAGCGGTCTCGAGCTCTGGGACAGGAACTCAACTTGACATTTGATTCTTTGGTACAAGCGGCTTATTTTCTCCTTGAAATTGAAGTTCATTCGTTGTCGGAGGGTTGTGCTCTAAAGGCGGACGTAATCAGACGAGAACGAGACGAATCGAAGAAAGAAGCACTGAAAATGTTATACGATGTTGTGATAAGACCTGTAAAAGACCTACTCACCGGAGATGAAATAATTATTGTCCCGGATGGCCCACTCTGTAGAGCGCCTTTTACAGCATTCATCAACTCGCATGATAGATACATATGTGAATCTTACAGAGTACGATTAGTTCCTTCACTAACGAGTTTGAAATTGATTGCGGATTCTCCAAAGTACCATGGCAAAGGACGCGTGCTTCTCGTTGGTAATCCGAACCTTGCGGAGATTGTTATCGAACAGCCGTGGAACTGGAATCTTCCAGGAGCTGAAGACGAAGTCAAGAATGTAGGCAGAATTCTTAAAAGTGAGTCCATTATTGGAAAAGATGCGACGAAAGAGGAAGTGCTAAGACGCCTTAAATTTGCCTCTTTAGTACACATTGCTGCGCAGGGTGGTGACGAAAATGGAGAAATTTTGTTGACACCAAACCCAATAAGGGAATCGCAAGAACCAAGAGTGGAGGACTACATGCTAACAATGGCTGATTTGACTGCTCTTCAATTACAAGCGAGAATGGTAGTGTTAAGTTGCTGCCATAGTGTATGAGGAAAGATAAAAGCGGAAGGTGCAGTTGGCATCGCACGAGGCTTTTTGGCGGCAGGTGCACGTTGTGTTTTGGTGGCATTATGGGAGATTGATGACCAGGTCACTCTGGAGTTGATGAAATATTTTTATGAACAATTAGTTGCTGGAAATAAAGCGAGCAAAGCACTCAATCATGCCGTAAAACATGTTAGGGAGCATCAAGATTATGTGAAGGATTGGGCTGCCTTTCATCTAATTGGAGAAGACGTCTAAATCTAAATAACTTTCACTTATAAACAAGATTTAAATTGCGTAAAAATTTTATGTTCACGTAAATCGTGGTGGCAAACCACCAACTGCTTGGACCAATAAAGGGCTACTCGAGCATGCAATAACTTTCTTATCTCTCAGTAACCTTGAATTATTGATCTATGCATAGTTAAAAGGAAATGTGGGGTCGCTCGGAATTGAATGGATAGAAAACGGCTAAGACACACAAAGAAAGAGTTGGTCCATAATCAACTTGATGACACAGTGAAATCTCAAAAAGAAATGTCTTATTTAGTTTGGCCTGATAAAAGTGTAGATGTAGCGTCAATTGTTTTTATTTAATCAATTTCATAAAGAGCTTTTTTTCCCTTAATTTTCCTTTGAATAGAGTCAATAATTGTCTACAGGCTTCAAAGTCGGAAGGAAGACGGCACGGGTAAAAAATACTGCTATATTTAAATCTGTAGGAAATTCTGCCTCATTAGTGTATCAATGAAGTTTAAATTGAGAGCAATTTGCCGCAAAAGCAAACCGCAGAGTATGTGTGCCGCAACAGAGGTTACTCCAGTAGCTCAATTGTTCCCAAGCTACCCGATGAAATAAAAAAAGATTACGGTGGCAATAAGAAAGCGTCGCGCAGTCAATGTTGTCATCTAAACTTACCTGATTAGATGATTTTCCACTTTTTGCTGTCTGAAATTTATAGCCCCACATCTTCTGCATTTTAGCACCTTTTTGAAAATTCAATTGTTACAGCAGTCGTTGACTCCCTTAAAATGTTTTAGAATAATTACTTAACAACCCAACGTGAAAACTTTATTGTTTTTTTACTTACCCAGCCTCAAGAAAGATGCATGGAAAAGCTCGACTTTTGAGGTCAAATTTCAGTAATTTAATAGTGGAGTTTCACCTAACGGTGTCAAAAAAAGGAAAATTTTCCTCAAAAATGGAAAGTAGGTGGAAGTGTGTAGTTACAATGAATAAACAACAGCTTGACATCATTGCAGTCATGATAAGTGATGTGAACATAACTAAATGGAGCACAATTAATCGTATATGCATCTTGAATTGGTTGAGCTCGATTCGTGAGGCTGATGTGGTTATGCCAAAATTGTACAACGCTAAGTTCAATAAGCAATTTGCGTTCACAAGAATCGGAAGAAATTTTATTCATTTTTTAAGCTTTATTTTCGAATCAATATGTCAACTGTTTTTAATTCTACCACAGGAAAATAAAATGGAACATTATATTCTTCCTCTTTCCGTTTGAAAACTGAAGCACACAAGCCTGCTTGTCGCGCTTCATTTTGGCTGGTTGGTATTGACGACGGAAGGCCGTTAAATCTCGTCTGTCAGTAAGCACTTGCTGCTTAAATATTATTGGCTTATGACTGTCTGATTCAAGCTGCTTTACAGGTCAGGTCAAATCCGACAACTGATTGACGTTGTTCAGAACCATTCAAATTAGAGTAGCTTGTTATTCGCAAAACTATTTACGCAATTAAAATTACGATCAATTTCATTGATTCTTTGATTGTTCCACAACCCAGCATAACCTTCTCAACCAATCGCCTTGATTTAAATCTTCCAAATCATTAATCTTCATCGTCACTATTCACAAAGTCTGTCAAATCTATTTTGTTTAATTACCACTATATGGCACACTAGAATTTCGAACTTATAGTCTTCTTTAAGATAGATTCTCAACCTCACAAACAACGTCTCAAAATGTTTCGCTTTGCATCTAGAAGGGAATCATTCCCACCTGCAATTCCCCTTTCATGAATTTTACAAATCTATCGAAATATTGTGTCTACTTATTGATTTTTTTTCAGGATTATTCTTTAGTTTCCACGCACTAATTTACAACAAGTGGTAGCTGGCTGAAAAATAAAAGGCATTCATTAGTTTGTTAAACTAACGAAAATAATGAGAAAGCACCTTGCTATCAAAGCCATTAGACACCAAATTGAAAACGACCTTTATTGCACGATTCGCGCTTATTACTGTATTCAAATCAAGTTTAGGCTTTGCGCACAATTGATTTTTTTCTTGAATTTTCTTCGTTCATATTTTGTAAATGCACGAATTCTATTCTTTGCAAACTGTTACAAATGCGATTTACCGGCAACAGATTGATGACTCATTGCTTCATTTATTTGCTTCACGCGTACTGTCTTATATCTTTATAGAAATACTTTTCCTGGGTCTTCACTTGTCATTACCTTCGGCCACTTAACGGCATAATTGGGCATGTAAAGAGAAATTATCTTTAAGAGATCCTGGAGTTCAGCCTCAATGTAAATTTTGCTTTCGATAAAGAAAACAGTGGGAGAAAACAATTGATTGTCTTTTGGACTACAGCTTTGTTTCAGAATTGTACAAAAACTTCCCTCCGACATTTTTTTGCCCGTCATTGATTTCCATTTGTTTTACTTTGTATATTGTTTTATTCTAAAAAGCATTGGCAGAGGATGACTCCTTCGATATAGTTGTATTTATTGTGAAAGGATACATGAATAAATAATTACCTCGAGCGTTGTACATAAAATCATGATTAATGTATTGTTTTTCAAGATTAGTTTTCACCTTGAACCACAAACAGCAATTATAACTCGTACTTCAGCTATGGCATTCCTAGCTGATCTCATTTTTATCATTCAACTACTTGTCGCTGTTTCCCCGTCCAGCATGGCTCTAAAGCAATGTAAAGTCAAGAATACTTCGAAGCCAGGATTTTTCCTCGTTGGTTATGCACTGAAATCATTCACAGCTGAAAGACTGGCATTTTGCTACAGTACTTGTAACACGGATCCGTCTTGTCAAAGTTTAAATTATAACCTCGCTTCAAAAACCTGCCAATTGAATTCAGAATCAAGGAAAAGTCAGCCCAACAGTTTTCACGCGAGGGAGGGTTTTGTTTACTCTGATAATCCTGATCGAGGTAAGAGTTTTAAAGCGATAATCTGATAATTTATGAAAAAGATGTCGCCACCAATTCGCTTTCACGATTGCTTAAGTAATTCAGCTAGTTCCCTGCAAGTGACGACAGTTTTCCAATTTTGTGGGAGTCGGGGAAGGGTATTGCTTATCTTTGATAGTTTTGAAAGCAGTTTTGTTCAATCTTTGATTTAAAAATGTCGTATGCATGTGGTAAGTTCTCTCAATGTGGTTGTTATACCTAGAAATATGAGAGTTTGATAAATATTACTGTCAAAGTAATGTCAAATACTCTTGTAGATAATCTCATAAACGAAACCAAAGTTCCCGAGACGCCTGCCTCTCAGTCAACATCGATGAGACTTCCCAAACAAACGTGCTCAGTTAAAACAGACCGCTTAGGCATCCAGGAGAGTTTTGTTTCCATGCAAAAAGAAGCACGAAACCAAAATCGAATTGTAATGTATAGCCATGGTTTTAGCTTTGCAGAACCACCCCACGAGTGTGTTAACATCTAAGAAAAATATTTAAAAAATGTATCGTTAAATTAATGCCAGTTATATGAATAAAGAACTGAATAGTAGAAATTGTGAATTTAGTTTTCCTCTTACGAACCTTCACGGGATGTTACCGTTGTAACACAAAACTAATATTCGCTGGGGGGTGGGAGTTAGGTTCACTTTCCATTATCTTAAGCATATTGTTTTCGCATAAGAAATAAAAATTGAAAAACCTCCTTCCCCCTAGAGTGAGAAATTCATCCATTTATTTGCTCATTTGTTTATCTATTCATCAAAAGTCTTATGTTACCCGAAACATTTGAAATATATGCTAGAAGAAAAGAAGCAATCACGTGACGCATTCTAAAAATGTATTTATCACCCAGCTTTACGCAAAGATAATTTGTATCCAAGACCGTCATTAATCTAAATCAAGGGTCATGCTATTGACAAAAATTTCCTGTTGTTATGTTATGAAGGAAAGAAAGGGTCCTTGCCTACGGTAACAGGCTTTTCATGCAGAAATATCGACGAAAATGGAGATCTGGACTTTAGCGGCTTTTATTGGATACGACCGCCAGGGTCTCTTGTTAGCTTCCAAGGATACTGTGACAAGTCAGCTGTTGGACGTAAGTTTACTGATTGATCAAACAAATTTGTTATGAATAGTAGCTAATGGGTAAGATAAAAATGTTGTAGGCTTTATTAAGAATGGACTCAATGGATTGTCCTCGAGTCTTAAAAATGATTTCTTGCAACGCAAATCATTAAAAAACAAACAAACAGACAGACAGACAAAAACAAAAAAAAAGAAAAAACGCCAAACGAAACAAAACAAAACAAAGGGGAAAAAAAGAAAACATACTCTGCAAAAACATTTACCACAACGGTCCCATGGAATTTCTATCTTATCTGTTTCACTTCATTTTGACGCTTTTTCGGTCCTTTTATGGAACGAGTTATTCCGTCTAAGATTTGATCGTTTAATCATGTCACACAAGAACGTGACTTAATGTCACTTCTACACGTATAAGAGATATTACTGTTCGTAACAGAACAGAATTGGTAGCATGTTTGTGGCCATTCAGTTGCATTATATGTGAAGAGAGAGAGGTTGTTAGGATGTTAATTTTTTTCTCCCTGTGTAAGAATGGACCAAGGTAACTCCGCAATGGATCAAGCAAACTTATAAAGATGGAGTGACGCTGACCTACACAGAAGAAAATGACGGGCTCGTCATTTCAGGTCAGGTGACCAGATATGCGTGTGGTTCTGGTGAACCTCCCGGGGCTCTGACCCTGATTAAAGGCTACTGGACTAGGATAAAGTACACCCAAGAATTCCGTGGAAAAGTTACGTGTTGGAGCATATTTGGAGATAACAGGTGAGTATACATACACATGTACATTTAAATCGTTACAGTACCAGAATGTTTTCTCGACAATTTGCGACCCTCCACGGGATTTCAGGGAATAAGGTGAACGCACGCACATGGTACACTAGCACGCTTTTCACGATATAACACGGTGACCGTGCCAGTTTTATAACACGCCGGCTTCGCTCGGAAGGCTTCGCATTGCGCCGGCTAACTAGCGGTTATTCATTTTAAAAATGCCGGTTTGCATTGAGTGATGAACAGCGACATGGAGCCGGAAAACTGTTGCTGAAGGATTCACAAAGATTCGGTATTGGGCTTATTAACTTCATGAAGCGATAAGGATTTATATCTTATAAGGTAAGAGATAATTTTTAAAAAAGTAATTCATGTGTTCAAACTGAGCTCCTCTGGACCTTGTGAAACACGTCGTGCTCACTGAATTCCTTGTGAAAATCCTCAGGGAAAGAGCCGTGATTTGCCGTGAAAGTTTCCTTTTTTCATTATAACTTTCGGATAGGATCGACAGAAGATCTTCTTCATTTTTTCTTATATTCTATAAGTAATATACTTTACAAACGCCATTCTCATGATAATTTAGTAACAAAGTGAGCTGGGTTGTACACGATAAGCTAGCGTGTTAAGGGACAAAGGAGCTTAGCGTGTTAAAAAAACAAAAAATCCAGCGTGTTATAGAAACAATACTCTATCGTGTTGGCCAGATATGGACAATGGCCACAACAAGCTTTCCAAAATCAATTGTTTTTATTTGCACATCTGCACGGTAAGCGTGTCATGCCATTAGCGTGCGAGCGTGTTATAACGTGCCATGTGCGTGCGTTCACCCTATTCCCTGAAAGCCCGTGGAGGGTCACATTTAGTGAGCCTGAAAAAAGCTGCAGGAGTTCAAAAGTAAATTGCATAGGTTATGAAACTCGAGAGAAGTTGATTATGTTTTGGAATCCTAGGTATGGTCGAACTTCAATTGAAAACAAACCAACAGGTGTGCATCCCTTTAATTCCTCTGAAGGAGATTCCATCACAAGTGAATACTTAATGGGTGGAGTTTGTGAGTAAAGTGTTCCTTTGTTTGTTTTTTTTTATTTTCTTCTGAGGTACAATGCTATTTCATTGCCATTTCTTTAGTTTGTCACTTTATATTTCCTTTGATTTCCACCAAGTTCGCAGTAAATGTGTTTCCAAGATAAACAAAAAGCTACTAAGATGGACAGTTCTAGATACAGATAAAATCCTCTTTATGAAATTAAAGCCGGGAAAAAAAACGAGATGGGGCGGGAGAGGCATCCGGCAGCCCCCACTTCCCTCCCCTTGTCCTTCCAAAGCTTAAAGTTATTATCACGGCATTTAATGATCCACACATTTGTTCAACTAAGAGAAAATTAAAACAAAACAAAAAAAAAAGGTTAACGAAACCTAAAATACCCTGAATTTTCGGGATCAAAATTCTCGTCAACTTAGATAATAAAAAGATAATTTGTAGCTCGAGTTTCTGAACTTTTGTTTTATTTAAATCTTTTAGCCCACATCTTTGATGGTGAAACAACAAAATGCGGCGGTGTAAACACAAACTTTTGGCATAACAATAACCCCAGTGTACGCTATGCAACGGTGATTCTCAGGAGAGATCTGAGTGCAGAAAATGCCGGTATTTTTACCGGCACATCGTGTGGCACACCAACCTACAAGATCAAGGATATTTACGTATACTTTTAAAAGTATTTTGATTTTTGCTGAGAAGGGCTGATTTGACGCTGTAATATATTTCATTTCATTGTGACACTTTTTCAGTCGTTTTACGAAACGAGTTATTCCGTCTAAGATTTAATCGTCTAATCATATCACACCAGACTGTAGGCTTTATGTCACTTCTGCACGAATGGAAGATATTACTATTCGTAAAAAAACAGAATTGGTAGCATGTTTTAATATATTTGATATATTACGATGAAGCAAATTTTTTCAGCTTTGTTGGGTGTTCTTTCTCTTCCTGCAAACTCATGATCAATTCTAAGTCGAAAGCTCTTACATGAAGGTGATAGTCAAGTTATTGTCTTTGTTACATATAGTGGTTCACTAGTTCAGAAAGAAAAAATTTTTTGAATGCTATTACACGTTTTAAAAGAACCTCATAACAACCCATAACGAGGAACTACGTCCATTTTCATGACTAATATTTGCATTTACTCTCATAGTAATGATCTGAATTCAGATGAACACTACCACATTTGTGACCCTTAATAAACAAATCAGTGAAAGGCTGTCATTTCGAAATATTTCAAACTCATGTCAAACAACAGTCCACTCTCGGGCGGGACTAGAAATAGAGGGTTGAAGCGGATTTGTACCTTTGAGACCGAGAGCTTCTGATCCTATCTAAGACATATCCATTGTCACCCTTATAACATAAAAAATAAGTTTCTATAGACTGCGACATCCACCTCCGCCATCCACGCCCAGCATTTTCAGACAGATTACACAAAATTTGATGTGAAAACTGTTTGTCCCAGTCAGTGTGAATATAATTTCACTACGGTTCAGACGCTACCTAAGGCTTCGAAATAAAAAATAGCCTTGTTAAATAAGACTAGATTATGAAATTGTATATCCTGGTGCCCTATACAACAGTACCTCGCAATCGAAGGCAAATAAAGGAGTGCCCCCCTCCCCCCCTCAGGGATACAACTTAGCAAACTAGGAGTCCATTAAATAATGGGCTCCTGGCAAAAAGAAACACCTTGGCCTTGATGTTTAATTCTTGGTTTACCTCAATCGCAGTTCTTTCACCAGGGTTTAAGTACCATAGTTGGACTTTTCAGTTTTAAAATCCCCAAGACCTGTTAGAAAGGGAGATGAACGCAAATATCAAGTTAAAGCATTGAGGTAAGCTTTATTTCTTATCTTTTATTCCAGTAGACATGAAACGCACGCACACATGGATAAAAAACAAGCTCAGTGACTCGCCTGTTGCAAAACAGTTTTGCAAGCTCTGCACACCAATTTGCCTACTCAGACTTATTACGCTATTGCTATTATTATCACTTTAGAGGGCAATGAAATAATAAATACTGACAAACACGGAAGCGTCTACGAGTAATATGGCTTTTAATTTCATTCAACGAAAATGCACCATCAAGCGAAGATGGCGAGAAATTACAAAATCTTGGTGATCGCTTGGGACAAAAAAATATTTTAAGGCTTTGGTACAACTTGGACACCTTAGAGTAAAAGATGTTTTCGTCGGTAATATTTCGAAGAATTGTACAAAAATTGGGTACAGCAATCAGCATCATGATAATTTGTTTTCTTTGTTTATTTTATTTTTTTTTTTTAGTCTTTCGTTGTTTTAGTTTACTTCTTGAGAAACTTCAAAGTAAAACAATTTTCATCGGGTGAAGCTGTTATTTTCTATAACATTTTCCTTTCTTTTCCGGTTTTATTGATAATTCAGAAACTCGTTACCCATTGGATACTAAACAAGCCCATTTGAACCGGTTGTCCTCATATGCATTTAAATTTCCTACTATTAACAATATTGGAGGACAAGCGAGGTACTTTTGATGATCAATACGCTGTGACCACATAGTCAAATCACACGTCACCGTGATGTAAACCTTCTACAACCTTAAAGTGCCGTCGAAGATGTGTTTTTCCGACAAAATAAATGTCCTTGTCTTACTGGTAACAGAGTCGAAAAAAGTAACGTCGCATCGACGTTATAAATCTTTTCTCACGTATTTTCAATCCCAAAATTGGCCTCCTTATCGTTCACGACCGATAAATAAATGGATGAATGGGGCGGGTTGGCTCATGACATCATCCCGGGAACCGATTCGACATTATTCATATCATTAGTGGGAAAGCAGCCACTCTACCAAACAATAAAATTATGTCCGATGGTGTTTTATTGTGTTTGTTTTTTGCTTGTTACATGAATTATCGTACAGCCCGTGACACTCTTTTGGACTTAGTCATTCACTTATTCTTTCGTTTAATTATTCATCCTTTCATCAACAGTCATATGTCACCCGATTCATTCCGATACATGTTCAACTGAAATGAAAGCAACAGTGTCACGCAATGTAACACCAAGCTTTATCAAATATAGTATGCAACCAACAACGTCATTAATCGAAATCAAAGATCATACTATTAACTGAAAATTTATCTTACTGCTTTTGTTGTGTTTTGAAGGAAAGAAAGTGTCTCAGCCTACAGTACCATGCCTATTAGGTAGAAATATCCAGGTTAAAAGAGATCTGGACGCTAGCGGCGTTTACTGGATTCAGTCTGCAGGCTCTCTTGCAAGTCTCCAAGGATACTGTGACCAATCAGCCGTTGGACGTAGGCTTACCGATCGATCAAATAAAGTCATTATGAATACAAACTGCTCGGTAATATGAAAAATCGTGTTATTGTTATTTACTGTGGATTCTGCGGATGGTCCATGAGCCACTAAATTAAGTTATTAAGGAACAGTACTGGTAAGAGTTGGTAGCGTGTTTGTGGCCAATTAAAATACATGTAGAATAAGAATTATCACTTTAAAACAGTTTTTGATTCAAATAATAATTGGCATTTTAATTGAAGACAATCAGGCTGTTAGAATATCAACGATTTTTTCTCTGCCTAAGAATGGGCAAGGGAATAACTCCACAATGGATCGAAAAAACCTACAAAGAGGATAATGACGGGCTCACCATTTCAGGCCAAGCGGTTGTAAGGTCCTACATCTCAGTTACATTTACACGGTAAGATCTGGGTACGAGTTAAACTGGTCAATAAATATACAACATTGTGGATATTTTGCGCATGATGTCCTATTACTATGTGAGACTTGCCCATGGGGTACTTCCTAGTAATGAGCCAAGAAGGATGTGCCGATAGATGGATTCACATTTTGACGAGTGGGTTGACAATAGTTCAGGAGAATATAAACAGTTTATATTCTGCCCACTTTTAAAACGCTTTACAAAGCAGACGAATAAACACAAAGTAGCTATCAAGAAAACTACATGAATATGAAAGCGATCGTCGTAGTAATGAACACTACTAGAGCAGTAGTGAAAATAAGGCCTGAAAAAGATTCAGACCTGTACGGGATTTTAAACCATGACCTCTGCGATACCGGTGCAGTGCTTTACCATGGCAGGAACCAAGTGATGGGCTCCTGACCATAATCATATTTACGTCTTTATCCGCAGTTTACATGAATGATTTTCATATATTAACATTCAAGAAAGCTTCATTTGCCCAAAGGTGACCAAGAAAGGTCTTTAATAGGCCACAGAATTGACCGTAATGGCCGGCGGAACATACAGAGCGAAAATTGACCCCAGTAAAGCCCACAAGTTTATTTGGTCAAGATGGCTGGATATTAACCTTGTTCTTTTTCTGCGTTTTTAAAAAAAAGTAAAAAAAGAACTCGGCCAATATCCAGCTGTCTTGACCTCACGCCTGGCTCTGGTTGTTCAAAGATCGGATAACGCTATCCTCTGGATAAATATCTATCCAGTGAATAATACTATAAGTTTTGCTATTACTTATACGCTGGATAGCGATTTATCCGCCCTTTATACAACTGGGCCCTGGTCAATGACGCAAATGAACACATTTCATGCAGACCCGTACAAATCTGGCAAGGGAAGACAGTACAAAAAATATACTTCCGAGCCTGGAATTTGTCTAACGTGTAGGTCAGTGGACTTCCATTTCCTTGTAATTTGGCTCATAAAGTGTTAACTTCAGCACTGATCACACAAGTATATCGTCAAAATCTGTTGCACTAAAGAGTCTGAGCCAGTGATATAAAGAGAGGTATTCATCAGCGTTCTCATTGTTTTGACGTCTGTCAATTAGATGCCAAAAGCACATTATTATAAGGGTTTGTAGCCAATTCTTCTCGACCTTCGTCTCTAGCAAATAAAAAGACGCTGATTTATATCAACGAGCCCGCAATATGGCATAAATATTGATCAGAGGGCTCTTCGGTGCAACATCTGTCACTTTGACATCTCAGTGGGAATGTCCGCTTCAACAACAATGCACTAGCGCAGTTAAACGATTGTATTGAAGGCCTATTACATTTAGGACCAAATGTTATTACATTTAGGACTTTATTACATTTAGGGCAATTATTACATTTTGGCCTTTAACGTGCGTCACCATGATGTAAATCTTCTAAATTATTGATCTTCATCGTCACTATTCTTAAAGTGTTTCATACTTATTTTGCTTAATTATTACTGTATGGCAAACAAGAATTTCGAACTTAATAGTCGTCTTTAAGATAGATTCGCAACCTCGCAAACAACGTCTCAAAATGTTTTGCTATAGATCTAGAGGGGAATCATTCCCAGTTGCAATTCCCCTTTCATGAATTTTAGAAAGCCTTCGAAATAATACGAATACTTGTTGATTCTGTGCAGGATTATTCTAGAATTGGCACGCACAATTTACAACAAGTGACAGATGGCTAAAGAATAAAAGGCATTCATCAGTTTATTAAACCAACGAAAATAGAAAGCACCCCGCTATCAAAGCAATTAGACACCAACTTTTAAAAAACGAAATTTATTAAGCGATTCGCGCTTATTACTATATTCAAATCAAGTTTAGGATTTTTGCGTAATTTATTGTTTTTCTTAACTTTCTTTTCTTTGGTTTTGTAAACGCATGACTTCTGTCTTTTGAAATTACAACGAACGCGATCTGCCAAAAAGACTGATTACAAATTGCTACATTTATTTGCTTTACACGTATTGTCTATTACCTTTACATAAACACTTTTCCTGGGTCTTCAACTGTCATACCCTGTAAAGAGAAATTATCTTTAAGAGATCCTGGAGGTCAGCCTCAATGTAAATTTTGCGTTCGATAAAGAAAACAATGGGGGGAAACAATTGTCATGATTGCCTTTTGGACTACAGCTATGTTTCAGAATTGTACCAAAAGGTTTCTAAAAAATTTTTTTTTGTTCTTTATTAATTTTCATTTGTTTTATTTTGCTTATTGTTTGATATAGGTCTATTTTTAATGAAAGAATTAATAAATAAATAATTAGTCCGAACGTTGTTCATGAAATCACGATTAATGTCTCGTTTTTCAAGATTAATTTTTACCTTGTACAACAAACAGCGAAGATAACTCATCCTTCAGCTATGGCATTGCCAGCTGATCTCATTTTCATCATTCAAGTACTTGTCGCTGTTTCCCCGTCCAGCATGGCTCTAAAGCAATGTAAAGTCAAGACTACTTCGAAGCCAGGATTTTTCCTCGTTGGTTATGTACTTAAGTCATTCACAGCTGAAAGACTAGCATTTTGCTACAGTACTTGTAACACGGATCCGTCTTGTCAAAGTTTAAATTATAACCTCGCTTCAAAAACCTGCAAATTGAATTCAGAATCAAGGAAAAGTAAACCTGACAGTTTTCACGCGAGCAATGGTTACGTTTACACTGATAATCCTGATCGAGGTAAGAGTTTTAAAGCAATAATCTTATTATATATGAAAAAGATGTCGCCACCAATTCTCTTTCATGATTGCTTAAGTAATTCAGCTGGTTTCCTGCAGGTGAGAACAGTTTTCCTTTTTTCTCTCGGGGTCGGGGGAGTATTGCTTATCTTTGATAGTTTTGGAAGCAGTGTTGTTCAACCTTTGATTTACACATGTCGTATGTATGTTGCCTGGAGCGAGGAGAGTTCGATCAATATTATTGTCAAGGAAAAGCAAAGTCAAATACACTTATAGATAAACTTATCAACGAAAGCATATTTCCCGAGACGCAAGCCTAACAGTCATCGTTGATGTAATGTCCCAAACAAACGATACTTATGAGCTTTGTATGCACGACTTTAAGTTCTCGGTTAAAACGAGCCGCCTAGACATTTAGAAGAGTTTTGTTCCGACGCAAAAAGAGGCAGAAACCATAACCGAATGGTAACGTGTAGCCATGGTTTCAGCTTTGCAGGACCACCCCACGAGTGTGTTGACATCTAAGAAAAATTATTGAAAAATTAATGGTTGAATTAATGCCAGTTATATGAATAAGGAGTTGAATAGTAGAAATTGCGAATCTAGATTTCCTCCTATAAACCTACACGGGGAATAACCGTTGTAATACAAAACTTATATTCGCTGGAAGGCGAGAGTTACGTTTCAATGTCCATTATATTAAGCATATTGTTTTCGCAAAAAAAAAAAAAAAAGGAAAACCTCTTTCCCCCCTATAGTGAGTTATTCATTGATTTATTTGCTTATTTGTTCATCTTTTCATCAAAAATCTTGTTACCCGACACATTTGAAATTTTCTCATATAAACCTTCACGGAATACAACCGTTGTAACACAAAACTAACGTTTGCTGGGAGGCGAGAATTACGTTTCATTTTCCATTATATTAAGCATATTTTTTCCGAATCAAAAGTCTTATGTTACCAGAAACATTTGAAATATAAGCCAGAAGAAAAGAAGCAATTACGTGACGCTATATATATATATATATATACATACATACATATATATATATGTATATATATATATATATATATATATATATATATATATAAATGTATTCATCCCCCAGCTTTACGCAAAGAAATTTTGTATCAAGGACCGTCATCAATCTTGATCAAGTGTCATACTATTGACAGAATTTTCCTGGTGTTTTGTTCTAAAGGAAAGAAAGGGTCCTTGCCCACGGTACCAGGCTTTTCATGTAGAAATATTGACGAAAATGGAGATCTGGACTCAAGCGGCGTTTATTGGATTCGACCTGCAGGGTCTCTTGTTAGTTTCCAAGGATACTGTGATAAGTCAGCTGTTGGACGTAAGTTTACCGATCGATCAAACAAATTAATTATAAACGGTAACTAGGGGTAAGATAAACATAGGCATGTATGCATGCAAGAGTTATTTTTTGGGGGTGGGTAGATTACTTGAAACATTGTAATTTTAAAATTACCAGACCAGAAATGCGTGTGGTTTTGGTGAACCTCCCGGGGCTCTGACCCTGATTAAAGGCTATTGGACCAGGATAAAATACACTCAAGAGTTCCGTGGAATAGCTTCGTGTTGGAGCATATTTGGAGATAACAGGTGAGTATATATACACATGTACATTGAAATCGTTTCAGTACCAGAATGTTTGCTCGACAATTTAATGAGCCTGAAATAAGCTGCAGGAGTTTAAGAGTAAAGTGCAAAGGTCATGAAACTCGAGCGAAATTGATTATGTTTTGGAATCCTAGGTATGGTCGAACTTCAGTTGGAAACAAGTCAACAGGTGTGCATCCCTTTGATTCCTCTCAAGGAGATTCCATCACAAATCAAAACTTCATGGGTGGAGATTGTGAGTAAAGTGTTTCTCTGTTTCCTTTTGAGATACAGTGCTATTTCACTGCCATTTCCTTAGGTTGTCATTTTGTATTTCCTTTGATTCCTACCAAGTTTGCAGTAAGTATGTCTCCAAGATAACCAGAAAGCTATTGAGATGGACAGTTCCTCAGATAAAATCCTCTTTATGAAATTAAAGAAAAAAAACGAGATGTGGTGGGAGTGGCATCCAGTAGCCCCCACTTCCCTCCCTTGTACTTCCAAAGGTTAAAGTTACTATCACGGCAGTTAATGATCCACACATTTGTTCAACGAAGAGAAAATTAAAACAAAACAAAAACAAGCTAACGAAATCTAAAATACCCTGAATTTTCGCGATCAAAATTCTCGTCAACTTAGATAATTAAAAGATAATTTCTAGCCTGAGTTTTTGAACTTTTGTTTTATTTAATCTTTTAGCCCACATCTTTGATGGTGAAACAACAAAGTGCAACAATGTAAACACAAACTTTTGGAAAAACAATAACCCCAGTGTACGCTATGCAACGGTGATTCTCAGGAGAGAACTGAGTGCAGAAAATGCCGGTATTTTTACTGGCACATGGTGTGGCACACCAACCTACAAGATAAAGGATATTTACGTATACTTTTAAAAGTATTTTGATTTTCGCTGAGAAGGGCTGATTTGACGCTGTAATATATTTCATTTCATTGTGACACTTTTTCAGTCGTTTTACGAAACGAGTTATTCCGGCTAAGATTTTATCGTCTAATCATGTCACACCAGACCGTAAGCTTCATATCACTTCTGCACGTATGGGAGATATTACTATTCGTAAAAACAGAATTGGTAGCATGTTTTATTATATCTAATATATTACAATGAAGCAAATTTTTTCTGCTTTGTTGGGTGTTCTTTTATCTTCGTGCAAACTCAATTCTAAGTCGGAAGCTCTTAGGTGATGGACAAGTTATTGTCTTTGTGCCATATAGTGGTTCACTAGTTCAGAAAGAAAAAATTTTTTGAATGCTATTACACGATTTAAAAGAACCTAATAACAATCTATAACGAGGAACTACGTCGATTTTCATGACTAATATTTGCATCTACTCTCATAGTAATGAACTGAATTCAGATGAACACTACCACATTTGGGACCCTTAATAAACAAATCAGTGAAAGGCTGTTATTTTGAAATATTTCAAATTAATGTCAAACAACAGTCCACTCTCGGGCGGGAGTAGAAATAGAGGGTGGAAGCGGATTTGTACCTTTGAGACCGAGAGCTTCTGATCCTATCTAAGACATATCCACTGTCACCCTTATAACATAAAAAATAAGTTTCTATAGACTGCGACATCACCTCCGCCATCCACGCTCAGCATTTTCAGACAGATTACACAAAATTTGATGTGAAAACTGTTTGTCCCAGTCAGTGTAGACATAATGTCACTACGGTTCATACACTATCTAAGGCTTCGAAATAAAAAATAGCCTTGTTGAATAAGACTAGATTATGAAATTATATATCCTGGTGCCCTATACAACAGTACCTCGCAATCCAAGGCAAATAAAGGAGTGCCCCCCCCCTCCCCCCCTCCGGGACACAACTTAGCAAATTAGGAGTCCATTAAGTAATGGGCTCCTGGCAAAAAGACACACCTTGGCCTTGATGTTTAAATCTTGGCTTACCTCAATCGCAGTTCTTTCACCAGGGCTTAAATACCATAGTTGGACTTTTCAGTTTTAAAATCCCCAAGACTTGTTATAGAGGGAGTTGAACGCAAATATCAAGTTAAAGCATTGAGGTAAGCTTTAATTCTTAACTTTTTTTCCAATAGACATGAAACGCAAGCACACATGGATAAAAAACAAACTCAGCGACTCACATGTTGCAAAACGTTTTTGCAAGCTCTGAACACCAATTTGCCAACTCAGACTCATTACGCTATTGCTATTATTATCACTTTAGAGGGCAATGAAATAATATCTACTGACAAATCACGGAAGCGTCTACAAGTAATATGGCTTTTATTTTCCCCTTCAACGAAAATGCACCATCGAGGGAAGATGGCGAGAAATTAGAAAATATTGGTGATCGCTTGGGGAAAAAAAAGGCATTTTAAGGCTTTGGTACAACTTGGACACCTAAGAGTAAAAGAAGTTTTCGTCGTCAATATTTCGAAGAATTGTACAAAAATTGGGTACATCAATCAGCATCATGATATTTTGTTTTCTTTGTTCGTTTTTTACTTTTTTTTGTGGTCTTTCGTTATCTTTTGGTTTTAGTACTTGCTGCTTGAGGAACTTCAAGGTAAAACAATTTTCATCGAGTGAAGCTGTTATTTTCTATAACATTAATTCGTTACCCATTGGATATCAAACAGGCCCATTTGAACCGGTTGTCCTCATATGCATTTAAATGTCCTACTATTAACAATATTGGAGGACAAGCGAGGTGCTTTTAATGATCAATACGCCGTGGCCATATAGTGAGTATAAACCTTCTACAACCTTAGAGTGCTACCAACTCGAAGATGTGTTTTACCGAAAAAAAATTTCCTTGTCTTACTGGTAACAAAGTCGAAAAAATTAACGTCGCATCTATGTTACAAATCTTTTCTTAGGTACTTTCAATCCCAAAATTGGCCTCCTTATTGTTCGCGACCAATAAATAAATAGGTGAATGCGGCGGGTTGGCTAATGACATCATCCCAGGAACCGATTCGACATTATTCATATCATTAGTGAGAAAGCAGCCACTCTGCCAAACTATAGAATTATGCCTGGAGGTGTTTTATTGTATTGTTTTGGTTTGTTTGTTTGTTTATTTTGTTTTTTTTGTTATTTGTTTGTTTTTATAAATGAATTAATTTTTATCATACAGCCCGTGACACGCTTTTGGACTTGTTTATTCATTTATTCTTTCGTTTAATCATTCATCCATTCATCAACAGTCATATCTCACCCGATTCATTTGAAATACATGTTGGAAACTGAAATGAAAGCAACAATGTCACGCAATGTAACGCCAAGCTTTATTAAAGATAATCTGCAATCAACAACGTCATTAATCGAAATCAAAGATCACACTATTAACTGAAAATTTAACTTATTTCTGTTGTTGTGTTTTGAAGGAAAGAAAGTGTCTCAGCCTACAGTACCATGCCTCTCAGGTAGAAATATCCATGCTAATGGAGATCTGGACGCAAGCGGCGTTTACTGGATTCGGTCTGCAGGCTCTCTCGCTAGTCCTCAAGGATACTGTGACCAATCAGCCGTTGGACGTAAGTTTATTGATCAATCAAACAAAGTCATTATGAATGCCAAATGCTTGGTAATATGAAAAATCGTGTTGTTGTTATTTACTGTAGATTCTGCGGATGGTCCATGAGCCGCTAAATTAAGTTATGAAGGAACAGCACTGATAAGAGTTGGTAAATATACGTGAGTGTTGATATTTTGCGTATGATGTCCTATTACTTTGTGAGATTTGCCCATGGGGTACTTCCTAGTAATTATCCAATGGCCATGGGGATGTGCCAATAGATGGAGTCACATTTTGACAAGTGGGTTGACAAAAAGTTAGGAAATTATAAACAGTTTATATTCTATTGTTTATGATTGGGTTACCTTTTCAATAGAGTTGGTAGAATGGGGTTGCACACTTTCGGAATTTAAAAATTGCCTACTTTAAAAACGCTTTACAAGGCAGATGAATAAACACAAAGTAGCTACCATGAAAACTACATGAATATGAAAGGGATCGTAGCAGTAATGAATACTACTAGAGCAGTAGTGAAAATAGGCCCTGAAAAAGTTTCAGGCCTGTAGGAGATTTTAACTCATGATTTCTGCGATACCGGTGCAGTGCTCTACTATTGTTATCTACTATTGTCATCTTCACGTCTTCATCCGTAGTTCACATGTATGTATTATATGTTAACATTCAAGAAAGCTTCATTACCCAAAGGCGATCAAGGTCTTTAATTGGCCACAGAATTAACTGTAATGAAGTAGGGTGGCACATACACAGCAAAAATTGACCCGTGTAAAGCCTACCCAACCCCCCCCCCCCCCCCCCCCCCCTCTTGCCGGGAGAAAAAATTGCTCGAACGGCTCCCACGGACTAGTAAGGAAGGAAAAGGATTACTTTCTTCCTTGGGTTGTGTGGGGATAGTGTCGTTGGCTCAGTAATTTTCTTTCAGAATAGAGAGTTTACTTATTAGATATTCCTGATGCCCTTAGCCGCCTCAGCCGCCGTTTCCGTTTCCGCCGTTTTCTCCCAGAAAGCTAGGAGAATAATTGCTACTTCAAAAGACTCTTAATTTCCTACCACCAAGCCCGATGTCTGAATCACAGTCGTGTTTCTGCTGATTAAATGAAATATATTTAGATAATTCTGAAGACTTAAGCTGCAGGGCGGGCTTCACAATTCACATCTCTAAATTTCGTGGAGGAGAATGGAGGATAACAGATGTTTACAGAAAGAACCTATTTACGTTAAGCTATAGAAAGCTTTGGTATTTGGGTTAGAGCGTTGATTACAATTGTTAGACTTAATTAATAATCCAGCAAAAGTTCTCAAGACCACTTGGAACTATTTCACGTAATCGAAATATTAAGTTAAAATGAAAAGTCACCCAAAAGTGAGCTTCGAGGAAAAAAAAAAGTAAAGAGGTCATATTTGAAAAAAAAGTATGGTGTACTTCCAACGTGAACAAAACGTATTTCTGAGCATATACTAGAATATTTAAACTTGATGCATCAAATACATTTTCCTGTACTGTCATAAACTATTGTCAAAGTACTCTACTGTTGAAATTTATCGTGCGCCTGCATGATTTTCAGATTTTTCAATTCTTGGGGAGGCATTACGTGGTTTTCAGGGAACGGGAACGGAGGGAGATCAGTCTTCGCCAACATAGTTTAAAGGGAGAATATAGAAAATTGACTGCCACGTAATTTTAAATAGAGACAAACCCGTTCCTCTCACCCCCACCCCGGCAAGAGATAAATAATAACCAGTCCCTTCGTATCAGTCTAATAAAAGTAAAAAAGTCCGTTTATTGTTAACATAGATTATCAAAAAAAACAAAAATTAAGAAGGCAGGTAGATATCATTTTGAACTTACCTTCGCGAGAAGTTTAAGAAGTGTCTGTTCAAAATGGTTTTTAGTTTGGTTTTACTACACCCGAATCATTGTGGAGTTACTCTTGTCCATTCCTTGGCAAAAAAAGGAAAAAAGGAAAACTTTTCCCGACGGCCTGAATGTTTTAAATTATAATACATGTGACTACTCAAATTAAGAACTGTTATAGAATGGGTCCATGCTTAGTGTATGTATGTCGAGTTATGGATGCACGTGGGAAGTTTGGAGAGCACGAGAAAAGTGTAAGAGTTGCGAATGATTTAAAAGCATAACCAACGAGGAAAAATCTTAGCTTTGAAGCATTATCGGCTTTACATTGATATAGGGAAATGTTGGACGCGGTAAGAGCGACAAGTAGCTGAAGGATGAAAATAATATTAGTTAGGAATGCCATAGCTGATGGATAAGGTATGTTTGCTGTTTCTTTATCCAAGAACTCTGTGCATAATGAAGGGGCTGTGCAAAATTCTTGCCGAAGAAGGTGACCAATAAGGATTCGAATATACTACCTCGAAAATCGATTCATGAGTTTTCAAAGATAATCTCTCTTTTCAGGCACCATTGCACCATTAATTTGGCGAGGTTGTGACAGGTGATGTCCAAGAAAAAATATTGATATAACAATAAAAGACAGTGTCCTATAAACTTAAAGGCAGCAATGAATCATCAATCTGTAGGCAGATAGCATTCATTTTATGTTGTAAACTGAAAAGCCGCGCATTAACAAAAGCTAAACGAAGAAAAATAGTAGAAAAATTTATTGTAAAAAGATTATTAACTTTAGTCGAATGTGTATCGTAATGAGCGCGTATCGTGCAATATTTGATTAACTGATGAATGCATTTTATGAAAAGTGTCTTGATCAGCCTTTTAGCCAGCTTTGATTAACTGAACATCGATTCTAAGAAAAATAATGCAATTAGTATACAGATTAACTCGATGACTTCCAGGGGAAGTTATGCTTTCAAATTGATTATATTGCGACAAGATGGAGATATGATATATTTCTATTTTAGTGAAGCATTCTTTTGCCACGTCACGAGCGAATCTAGTGGCTCAACATGATGCACTCTAAGATTTCCTGTAACTTACTGATGGAGCATCGCAGCGCGCGTAGAATCTGAATGTCTGAGGTGCAAATCGTGATGAAAACTCAAGATTTTTATTTGTCCTAAGCTAAAGATGGGGCGAGAAAAAGTCCTCTGTTTTCAAAATACATCATGTTTCTTATTTCATCTATTTTTCTTTCTCATTGGTGAACATGTGTTTCTTATTAACTCAGCAATGTCAGATTGACCTCGATATCCTTATTTTTCTTGTGAAAACTGAATTTACATACCCATGAGACTCGATGAAAGGGAATTTAAAATCTTGTCAACACAGATGCAAACCTCACTAAAGTGACTGACTCAAAAGACAAGAATAAACATCACTCTAAATAACTTTGATCCACACTTAATTTATTGCTCACTGTTTCTAAAAGTATACGTAAATATCCTTGATTTTGTATGTTGGTGTACCAGTAAAAACCCCGGCACTTTCAGCACTCAATTCTCTTCTGAGAACCACTGTCGCATAGCGTACATTTCGGTCTGTGTTACTCTTAAAGTTTGCCGCTGAATCGTTGCACCTTGTTGTTTTACCATTGAAGATATGGGCTAAAAGATAAAATTGAATTAAAAATCCAGGAATTTAAGCCTGACTAAGCTCAAGCTTGACCTCAGTACAGCGGTTTTTAATTAACTGTCGTAAAACCTGAACCAAATTAACTACGACAGCCACTCAGATCAAAGGTTTGCGTCATTATTAGCCAATGAGGACTCAGAGTGAAAACAGGCAAACTACCAAAAGTACGAGGTACGTGTGTGACCAAGTGACGATTGGTTTCCTTTGGCGATTGCGTTTAATAGTTTCAGAGCTGAGCATGAGATTTCAGGACCAATCAGACTGAATTAAAGGAAAACCAAAGTAATCCCGAGTTACTTTCAACATTCAATTGAAAATTATCTCATGAAAATGAAATATACCAAAAACATTCACGTGCGGTAATTCACGGAGATTAAGGTTCCCCTTACTTGAATTTGTTTGCATTAACTTTCTTGTCGTTGTCCTGAAGTGTGCAATATCATTAATTGCCGCGTTTCATAATTTTTGTTTTTTTGTACTTCGTAATACACTCCTGTCATTTTAAATAAATAAGGAATAATAGAAGAAAAGATTACTCTAAAGCAGAACATTGTTTTATAAAAATGCAAATTTCCCGTTTTCAAACATGTAGGCGCTGGATATGAATAAAAGAAAAGAACAGACAAATAAAGTAGGAGTTTACTTACAATCTCCACCCATGAAGTATTGATTTGTGATGGAATCTCCTTGAGAGGAATCAAAGGGATGCACACCTGTTGGTTTCTTGCCAGCTGAGGCTCGACCATACCTGTAAATTTCAAACAGACAATCAACTTCACTCGAGTTTCAACTTATTCAACTAATTTTAAGCTCAAAGAAATGTGGCATACATGTGTTAATACTGGGATGGTTAAAAAGTATGCTTACCTGCTATCTCCAAATATGCTCCAACAGAGAGCTTTCCCATAGAATTCTTGAGTGCATTTTATCTTAGTCCAGTAGCTTTTAATCAGAGTCAGGGCTCCGGGATTTTTCCCTGAAAGACATCCATTTGACGTCACTTGGCCGTAAATGGTGAGCCCGTCATTTTCTTCAGTGTATTTTAAGATCACTCCATCTTTGAAAGTTTGTTCGATCCATTGTGGAGTTACCCTCGTCCACTCTGAGACAGGAAGGAAAACCAGATTAACATATTTCCTAACAGTGTGACAATCTCCAAAAAAATAAAGGGGGTAAATTTCTGAAGAAACTATTGTGCTGCGTCAGTGGGGAAGTATAACTTTTAGTCATATCAACTAAGTTGATAATGGGAAATAGCTAAAGAGTTTCAAAAATGACGTTTCGAGTATTAGCCCTCCGTCATTCGCTCTGATGACTTAAAAAAAAACTTGGAATTATTATTATATTTGTAATTCCAAATTTGTTACTCTTATTCTATTGCAGTTGGCCAAAAAACTCACTACCAGTTCTTGCCGATTCTGTTTTGTTACATGGTACTCACACAGCACAATAGCTATTTCCTATGCGTGCAGAAGTTACATGAAGCCTTCAGTCAATCGTGTTCATGAGCATGCTTGATAAAGCAATAATATCTTAGAAGTAAATTAAAGAAGAGTCAAATAAAACAAATTAGCTCACCCTCAGTACATGCCCACTTTCCTGGAAGTTTATGAGAGTTTTCTAATTCTCATTTTACATTTGTTTTTGAGTTATTATTAATATTATTTTATTTTTATTATCATAAGATTATGTTTGGTTCAGATTGATGACAGTGTTGGTTGCTTATTGCCTTTGCGCAGAGCTAGGAGATGAAAACATTGTTACATTGTGCTATACGATTGCTTCATGTTTTCCAACTGGTATTTCAGATGTTGCGGGTGACATGCGACCGTTAAGGAGTCGATGAAAGATTAAACGAACGAATCAATGGGGAAAAAAACAGATCATAAAAAGTGACCAGAGAAAATATGAGGACAGAGAGGGACCCTCAAGGCCGTGCTATCGCGCTCATGCACTTAACTTATTTTTTTAGCCTTTGAAAATCTGTGTTCGCGGCTATGGTGAGCGCAAGTTATCATAACGAAGATAGCAACCTCACACTGTTGACTAATGACAGAGATTTTAGAACTCCAACCAGCCAAGAGGTCGGAGTTCTTTTTTTATTTGTTCACGAAAGCAATATGCTTAGCGCAAAGTGATTGACTCTCGCTTTGAAGTAAATAAAAGTGTGGTGTTACAATAATTTATCTCATGAACATTTGTAAAAAGAAAACCGGGTTGATAGTTATTGGTTAATGAAAAATTTTACAATCCATTGCTTTGTTCATTTAAACTTCATTGACTGATTTAATTGTTTCTTGATTGTTTGAAAAATGTAAAACTATGGGTTTCCTGCGAAGTTAAAGCCGTGGAAATACAAAAAAGGGTGCCAGAGTCACGTTTCATGGTTGTAAACTTAAAGTGGCTACACGTGCTTCATTTCCATTTTCGATTTGCACGCCTTTTCGCATGATCCTATGGCACAGAGTGGTCTATTCTCACTGGGAATTCGAATTCATGCATACAAAGCTAATTTGTGTAGTTTGTTCGGAGAATCAGGGTGCTGTTGACTTCTGTGTGGACGACTTGGTAAACATATTTCCGTTTGAAGGACTATGCATAAGTAAAGTTGACACATCCTAAGACCTGAACCAGGACCCAACCAATGTCTTTTATCATTTCATGTAATTTTAGCCATAACGTTAATCATGCTATACTAATGTTCGGACTTCACAGTTTCACAAACGGGACTTGCTTCGTACATGCTGTCTTTGCATATCAATAAAAGTTTGATTGCTACCAGAACCTGCTGTTAACGATAAGTAACAGCTTTACAATCTCCCCCTTCCTCCCCCCCCCCCCCCCCAAGAAAAAGAGTGAAAAACTGCCATACCATGACATACAGGGCGCCAGTTAATAACTTTTAGAAGCAATCACAAAAGCGAATAGTTGGCGTCTTCCCTTTTATAAATTATCACATTGCCTTTAATTAATTCTTACGTCGGTCAGGATTATCAGACTAAACACGAGATGCGTCCCCATGAAAATTGTCTGGTTGACTTTTTCTTGATTCTGAATTCAATTCGCAGGATTTGGTGGCAAGGTTATAATTTAAGCTTTGACATGACGGATCCGTGTTACAAACACTGTAGCAAAACGCCAGGTCTTCAGCTGTAAATGATTTAAAACAATAACCAACGAGGACAAATCCTAGCTTCGAAGTATTATCGGCTTCACATTCCTTTAGAGCAATGTTGCACGGGGAAACAGCGACAACTAGTTTAAGGATGAAAATAAGATCGGCTAGGAATGTCATTGCTGAAGCATGAGGTAAATTTGGTGGTTTTGGGTCAAGAGAATCAATCATCAAATAAAAACAATACACTAATCGTGATTTTCACAAACTAATATTTATTCATGCACCAAAATACGACTGTACCAAAGAATTCTTCGAATGCTTTTGTGACACGTTCATTAAACAAAGTACAAAATCAAACGGATGCGAAAAATTAATGAGCTTGAAAAATCGTAGAAAGATTTTCGTATAACCAAAAATTATTCCTAAACAGAGCTGCAGTCCCTAAGGCTGTAATCATGGTATCCACCATCATTTTCTTTATCAACAACTGTGTGCAGAAATCTTGCCAAAATCGTTCTAATGCTAAAATGGCAAACAAAAATAAAAACTTACAGAAAGACTGACCTTTAGAAGTTCTAAAAGATAATGTCTCTTTTCAGACCCAATAACACTACCGTTAATTGGCCAAGTTTGTGGCAGGTGATAGATATAAAACGGTGTACTATAAACTTGAAGGTAGCGACGAGTCATCATTCTGTAAGCAGGTTGCATTTGTTGCAGATTGTTGATGGCAAAAGCCGAGCATTTCCCAAAAATAAACATTAAAAATATTAGAAAATTCAATCCACAAAGATATCGATCTGTAAATTAAGTTGAATACATATTGTTATGAAGGTGAATCGTGCAATGAAAGTAATTTCTAAGTCAGTGCGCGTGTCTAACTGCGTTAATAGCATGCTCTTTATTTTCATTAGTTTAATCAAGTGATGAAAGCCTTTGGCCATATATCACTTAGAGTCAATTGGCTAGTGCCAACCGGAATAATCCCGAGGAAAAAAATCACTTAGAATACAGATTAGTTCGATGACTTTGAGGGGGCAGTTAAGCGTTCTCGGGCAAAAATATTTACACAATTCATGAAAGTAAAATTTCACGTTGACATCATTCCCTTTTGGATCTACATTAAAACATTTTGAGGTATTGATTGCGATGTTGAGAAATAAAAAAAACTAAAACTTTTTATAATTCTTGTTTCTCGTGTATGCACAGTGGTAGACACACCTTTTTGCATTGGAATACTCAATGATCAATGACTTGGAAGGTAAAGGATGCAAGAGATTTACAAGGAGTTTCAAATGATGTTTTCAAAGCTGTTAAGTTACTTTTTGGTGCGATCGTGTGAGTTGCTATTAAATGGGAATCTTTCGTGCATGATTTTGTCTGGATTACCATAAAACAAGTTAAGAACTGAAAGGCTTAATAATTGAGCAAATCGCTTTTGTCTTTCACCCATTAAAGCGGTCACTCTACCTCAAAGGGCAGATTTGAATTTGACTGTTTTACCAATTGAATAAACCGTTGCAGTGATGTATGACTCGATTTCGTTCAGTAATTGAACTTTTTTACGAGCGACCACGTTATGTGACACGAAACTCCTATAGAAAATTATTTGAAATACTGCGCGTGCAATTAACCAACTTCCCACGTGATCATTATTATGACGTAAACGGAGATAAAACAATCAGAAACAAAAGGAGAAGTTTTCTGGTTTCCATGAGATTTTACAGAAGATGCCTTGTCAAATTTCTTCGGCCAAGAACCGCCCTTTCCCTGTTAAGATTGTTCTTACGTCCATTGAAGAAATCGTGATAAGAGATGTCGTCACATCAATGACTGTGCTGGCCTTAAAAGACAAAATTGAGTTGCAATGTGGGATTCCACGGTAAGATTGAGTGATTCCTTTCGAAAAATTCCAATTCCAGCGATCAGGAAGTTATGCTTTAAATCATAATTACTGATCAGGTACAGTTACATCGCTCCATTTGTAGAGGAAATCGTTTCAACGTCAATGTACTATTTATGCACTGGGCATTGTTTGTAAGTTTTCAAAATTGAACGAGCCGCAAGCTCAAGTCTGACTCTCGGCTTGAAATCCTGCTTATTTTCAATTAGATGCCACTTCCAAATGTATTAAGAATTCTGGCAAAAAACTCTGATAGACATTAGACTTTTGAAACTCTCTGCGTAACAAAGCGTTAATGTAAAACAGATAAAAAGTCTTTTGATAAAGGATCCCTTCCGTCTAAAAATTGGGAGCTATTTGACCTTCAAAAGTGAAAAGCGTATCCTTTCGTCCCTTGTTTGAACCTGGTACTGAACATTTAATTTTCGCGAGACAAGATGCTGAATGTCAGCGGAAGAGTACAATCGTCTCGTGTCACTGTTTAATTGCTCTTTTCTTCGGCGTATTTTTGTTTCTATGTTTGTAATTTTGTTTTTTTGTTTTAATTATTTTCAAAGGCAATTGCAACGCTTAACATATCTTGATGAACTAGACATGGATGACAGAAAAAAACTGTCCTTCTTCCATGTAGTACCAAACTCCATACTTACAGTGAAATGGTGGCCTGAGTGGGCTTCTCTGATTCAAGCCGCTTATCGTGGTGACTTAAAAAGTAAGTCATTTTATCTGACTACGTGGTCATTTATGTGTTAATTGTGGACAATTTCTAGTTTAAATCAAAACCTTCATCGAAAATTTGCTGAATAAAGAAATAAAGGCAACATTTATATGCTTACTGGCTCATGGTTTATTTGAGCCATGTGGTTTTTCAGCTAATATGCAGACACATAACACGGTTTATATTTTGACCCAAAGCCATAACGAATTCTGTCAGAATTAACAATTTCAGACTGAAACTTCTACAATTCTATGATTTGTGTGGGAGAGAGATCTCAGTTTGGATGGCTGCAATCTCTCGATCTCCTGCTCGTCCTGATCCACATCAAGTTCTTTGTAACATCTACGTTCACTTGAAATGAAAAGAAAAAGTTTATGAGATTTATTCGAGGGCTACTATATTGCTTTAGTCTACAACCCTCATTGTGGTGGTAGATGTATGCAGAGCTAAGCGATCGTGACTTTTTCGTGCACTCGCAATATAACGGCTCGCAAGTAAATATGAATGTTTATTAACTGTTTTGTTCTTAATATGAAATCAGACGTGATGGCGTCGCGAATAAGAGTGATGGAGCATAAAGTTGGTTGGTTTAGAGGGGCGCACTTTAATGAACGTGGCTATGTAGCTCTGTACATTGCCTCCCATCGCGGTCATGAGCGAGTGGTTTCCAGACTAATGAGCTTAGGTATTGATCCATGTCGGAAGATGCCATCTGGGAGATCGTCTATTCACGTTGCCGTCCTCAATAGAAGAATAACATGTGTGAACCTTTTAGTTGGTAAGATAAGCTAACACACTTAGACTAGACGACTGACTGAATTGTCTCAACTAAGGATTTCGACTTTCGGAACCTTAAATTGGGAGAGCTTGGAAGTATCAGTTTGGTCTCAAAGAGCTTCGAACCTCTTATCATTATGATGGACGAAATTCTTAATTTTCGTCGATTTTCCTTTGTTAAAGTTTCTCTTTCATGGTGTTTCTAAGATAACTACGTGGCTTATCCCCTAAGATTCTTAAATTAAGGACACCCGGTCGAAATAGGGGCGTTTGATTGGTTTGGCATAATTAACAACATCACTTCTTTCATCTCTCCAGTTCACAGTAATTTGCAATCAATTTATTGTTTAGTGTGTGTCTGTGTATTTCTAATGAGAGTGAAAGCATTAGGTTAATATTTGCTTTAGCTTTCAAGGTATTTTAGCATGCTTTCTTGCTCACTTTTCTTCATTCATTTAGGAAAGGCGAGAGGTAAGGGAGGTGAGGCAGGCTTACGTGAGAACTGTGCAAGGAGGAACACGTTTCTGAACATCGCCGGTCAACTTCAGCGGAGAGATGGCTGGAAATTTCTGGTAATACAGCTCAGGGAGCGCATGGGACGCCGGGAAAAAGATACTTTGAGTAAACGAGATATTCCCCTGCGAGAATTTCAGAAATATGACTCTACATTTTCGACATATTTAACAGGTAAACAAAAGCTCGATTAGGTTATTCGTGTTACTTCGACTGTTTATTAAAATCATTTTGTGATAATTATCGATGACATACCACTTTAAGTGTCTAAGCTTGTCTTCTCTAGATATTTTAATGAGGGTTAAGTGACCGAAGCTCAGTTTTTTCTTTCCTTTCTTCGTTTTGTTTTGGTGCTTTCTTTTGTTGTCACCGTCACATGAGACATGGATGTCTAGAACAGTAGTTGCACAAGCTGTTTCCTTGAATCTTTTTCCTCCTTTGCTGAAGAAGGGGCTAATTATGTTTTTCACTGACAAAGTCTTTGTATTCTTGCTTATCGACCAATTTAATAAATGAGTTTAGATGGTACTTATTAGCTTCCTCCTACCTCGCCTTCAGTTTCTTTTCATCCACTGATTGGCTGAGCACGTCATTTAGATTGTAGCATATTTAGCACCTGCAGTTTGTTTTTTTCGCATTAGCGTTCCTGGCGAAAGTGAGCTTTTCCATCGCAGATTGGTGCCACGAACTTTTTCTTTGTCCTCCATATATATGAGCCCTCTTCTGCACACGTATTTCCAGGAATCACTTTTTGTATGTCGCATCCACAAAATGTCGCATAAATGGGTGGTAATACCAATTTAAGCGTACCTTATCTTAATCGATATTTATTTATACTTTTATTTATTAATGTCCTAATTTATTTATTTATCTTCCTATCTGTTGCTTACATGTATTTATTAATTTTTCAATAGGGCCTCTTGGCAGAATTTACCTTTGCACAGTTCTCCAGAAGAACCCCCTTCGATGTCGAACTTTCATAAAACCTTGGAAATTTTGAACACATTTAGAGTTAAAGATTTTGAATTCTTGCTTTTATTAACCCACCCTATAAATTACGTAAAGTAAACAAATGTACCTACGAGGAACTAACAAGATGAACATACCCAACTTTTAATTGAAATTAAAACTTTCACATTGAAAGCGGATTGCAAGTTATGTCTCTATAATAAATAGTTATTTTTCACCCAAATTATCTGTCGATCTAATTTCTTGAGTATTTGACTGACCACTTCATCTGAAAAACTGACAAACAGATAAAATGATGAATAGACGAACAGATTGCATAACGAGACAGAGAAAGACAATCTCCTATGCACATGCCCCAACAGATGTGTCTAATAGTGTATTTATTTTCTATGTGAAGTGTTTATTATACCTTTTCCTATTCTCGCTTAGTTAAACCTGGCTTCGGGTCGTCCTTTTTTTTTTTTTACAGTACGGTACAGGTGTTGAATTTTGTTTTCGGACTTGCTTGTTGTTATTTCTGGCCAGGTTAAATTTAATCACGCGTGCTCACAATAACAACACGTTAACTAAGAATAGACGATTCGATATTTATCGATCACTGCTGGTCAAAAATTTTCCAGTGCATCAGCTACTCTTTCTCGAGCACCTGCCGCTACATGTATCTTCGGCAATCACCAAACGTCTACCGTCATAATTCTGTATGGGCAGCTTAGAAAGAATTCAAAAGGGTGCATTGCAAGCTTATCTGTGGTCTAAGGTATTACCACTAATTCCAAAATGACATTCACTAGCTCAAAAACTTCCATCGTGAAATTCTACTAATCTCGAATTTCTAAACTATCAAGCAGATCAGAAAAAATGAACGTATGGGAAAAAATAGCTTCACTTGACGAAAATTGAATTACCTTGAAATTCCTCAAAATTCAAGATAATGAAAAGCATCAAGTAAAGTAAAGCAGGCCGCAGGAAGCGGCTAAGGCAAACGAAAAGTGTAGGGGTGGAGGGGGAAAAGCCGATGTTGTCGATTGTTTCTCCCTTCAAATAATCGTGAGTGCTTTGACGCTTCTTTGCCTTATAACAGAACAAAGCAAATACGGGAATTTCTATATTTTTGTCTAGTTTTTCATTTTATTTTCGTGAAAAAGTAACAACGTTTTCGTTCAGAGTTTTCAGGAGAATTACTTTT